AGAGAGAGAGAGAGAGAGAGAGCGAGAGAGAGAGAGGGATCACAGGTATACGCACATTCTCCTTCATCGTTGGCAGCAACTTGTCTAACATTTCAAACTTTGCTGACATCAGCAGCTCCTCTGGTGGCAGAGAAAACTTCTCCACACTCTACACAGCAACCAACACAAACACATGGTTACTATAGTTACTGTCATTAGTCATTAGTCATTGTCTACAACTAAGTATAACATTTATAGTAACATTGTAAACAAACTACTAACATTTTATTCTTCTAATGAGAAACGAATTTTCTCTAATATTAAACTAATTGTATTAACGAATGAAAAATACAATTTTACCTCGTTTAAATAATTAAACATTACTTAAATGAAGAAAGTAATCATGTAAACTCATTAATAATTATATATAACAGGTTAACGACCGAAAACGAGAAGAATCTCATCATCACCGTCTCGTGTTTTCCATCTAAATTAATAGCTACACCCACACATAGGTGGAGCCAGCGTCAGCCAGCAGGTGGCGCTGCTCTTACCCGATACATCCGACACAGCTTGTGAAGTTCAAAGTCCGACATGACCGCCATGTCCTCCTGTATAAGCTTAGCATCAGCATCCCTGTGAGACGGTTCCTATAGCAACACAAAACAACATGGATGCCATAAGGGTCCGGACACGCGTGACTGATAAAAGTTCTACGATCGGTAGTCGATAAAATCTCGATGGTGTCAACTTTGTCGTCGTTATTTTTTATAGAGATGTTTGGCCTCGACAATGCAACGCTCACCTTGAGCATGAGTGCTGCCATCTTGTGGAGCATTTCGTCGGTGTACTTGATGCGGTGAAGCAGCGGGTGATTGGCTAGTTTACGAAGCTGCATTAGCATTCCTGAAACACGACATGTGATTGGCTGGTTTATGAATACCTACATGTACATGTATATATATATACCTCAGGGTGCGAAATTAACGGGAGTCCGGAGTCAAATACTCCCTGATTTACTGACGGACTCCCTGATTTGACATATGCAGGAGTCCGTGTGACTCCCTGAAAATTCTGCCATACTATACTAACTAGTTCGTTCCAGAGCACGGCCTCGTAGAATTACCGTATTTTTTTAGCAAATGTCCAAAGAAAATTTGGCAGACGTGCAACCGCATGAATCTTCAAAATAAGCACATGCGTTATTGTTAATATCTTTAATTTTGAACTTCAGACTGCAGACTCCATCATTTTCTGCAGACTCCCTCTTTTTGAGGGTAGGGAGTTGGACTCCCGTATTCTAAACTTAATTTCTACCCCTGTACCTACATGTACATGTATATCTATACATACATATACATGTAAATATATACCTACATGTACATGTACATATATCTATACATACATGTACGTGTAAATATATACCTACATATACATGTAAACATAAACCTACATATACATGTAAATATAAACCTACATGTACATGTATATCTTATACATGTATACATGTACATATAAATATATACCTACATGTACATGTATATCTTATACATGTATACATGTACATATAAATATATACCCACATGTACATGTATATCTACACCTACATGTACATGTAAATATATACATACATGTACATGTAAATATATACCTACATATACATGTATACATGTACATATAAATATATACCCACATGTACATGTATATCTACACCTACATGTACATGTAAATATATACATACATGTAAATATATACCTACATGTATACATGTACATGTATATATACACCTACATGTACATGTATATCTATACCTACATATACATGTAAATCTACACCTACATGTACATGTAAATATATACATACATGTACATGTATATGTATATAATACAAACTAATGAAATGTCGATCTATCGACACACCAGCACTAACGCGAGCGGCGATGCCACGACACACGTGCTGCCATCTATCACACACCTGCTGCCTTGTCGCGCGTCGCGTGATGTTCGCTCGCCATGCTGGCAGACAGTAGCGCCACCAGGCGGTCGTAATGTTCGCGCTGCGCCGCGGGGAGGCGGCAACGGATGACGAGATCTACTTTACACGGCAGCTGCTGTAAAACCTGCGCGTGACGGAAAACAGACGTGTTTAAGAACAGAGAGATGAAGAGATGGAGAGAGGAAGGAGAGATGGAGAAAGGGAGAGAGGAAGGAGAGAAAGAGATGGAGAGAGGGAGAGAGGAAGAGAGGGAGAGAGGAAAGAGAGATGGAGAGAGGGAGAGAGGAAGAGAGGGAGAGAGGAAGGAGAGAGAGGAAGGAGCGATGGAGAGAGGGAGAGAGAGAGGGAGAGAGAGAAAGAGAGAGAGGAAGGAGCGATGGAGAGAGGGAGAAAGACAAAGAGAAGGACACAGAGAGATAGAGAGAGAGGGTGAGAGAGAGAGAGGGAGGAGAAAGGAAGGAGAGATGGAGAGAGGGAGAGAGGAAGGAAAGATGGAGAGAGGGAGAGAGGAAGGAGCGATGGAGAAAGGGAGAGAGGAAGAGAAGGAGAGAGCTAGGAGAGATGGAGAGAGGGAGAGAGGAAGAGAGGGAGAGAGGAAGAGAGGAAGGAGAGATGGAGAGAGGGAAAGAGGAAAAGAGGGAGAGAAGGAGAGAGGAAGAGAGGGAGAGAGGGAGAGAGAAAGGAGAGATGGAGAGAGGGAGAGAGGAAGAGAGGGAGAGAGGAAGAGAGGAGGGAGATATGGAGAGAGGGAGAGAGGAAAAGAGGGAGAGATGGAGAGAGGAAGAGAGGAAGGAGAGATGGAGAGAGGGAGAGAGGAAGAGATGGAGAGAGGAAGAGAGGAGGGAGATATGGAGAGAGGGANCAATGAGAAGAAATACACCAATAGTTTATCTCATGTACATAGTCTAAATATATATATATATATATTATATATATATAAATATGATAATTTCATGCATCTCATGAATTATCAATGTTTATATCAAGTATGTCTAATTTGTACCACATCACAGTATAGAAACCTCAGTATAGATGATAAATTAAATGACAAGCAAACATTGACAAGCTGTTTACATTAAAACAGAAGTGGTAAGAGGAGCCAGAAGGAAAAATCTCCAACACAAACCACAAATCAATTCCAAAATATGCATAAAAAACAAGAAAAATGTTCTCAACCCACTCCTCCACACCCCACCCTGTCCCCCCTCCCCTCTCCTCTCTCTCCTCTCCTCCCCTCCTTCCTCTCTTCCCCTCCCCTCCTCCTCTCTCCCTCCCACCCCTTTCCTTTACTCCCCCACCCCCCTCCTCTCTCTCCGCCATCCCTCCTCCTCTCCTCCCCACCCCTCCTTCTTCTCCCCTCCCCTCCCTCCCCTCCCCACCCCCTCCTCCTCCCATCCTCTCCCACACTGTACGGCGTTTGCTCACGTAACTAGGTTTCTTCAGCTGTTGCGTTTCGTCGTAATATGTCCGCGCATGTGAAAGCCTACAGAAGTGAGATCAGCTCGCCAAGGTTGTTCTGTAGCGGCGTCCCCGTCAACAGCAACCGCCCCTCCGCCTTAGCAGAAACGGACACGCGCCAGTGCAACGACCGCCGCACAAAAAATAAATTCCCGCAAAAAAGAATTTCCGCAAAAAAGAAATTCCTGGAAAGATCACACGTCACATGTTAGAACCAGAATGAAATCTTATGATCGAGTCAAATACGATGTCAGAGGTCACGTCCAAGGTCACAGTGAAGGTCGTGTTGTGAGTAATGTCATAGGTCACGTGAAGATGGTCATGTATGAGGTCATGGCAGATAGAATGAGCCACATCACAGTAATGACATCAGATCTCCCGTAAGAGTTAGAGGTGAGACAGCTCATAGTGTAAGCTCAAATTTTAGACAATAAGGACTTATAAAACCCTTTCTGGAGGCCAAAATAAACTTTTTTAACGAGCATTCTATGCTCACCGACTATTAAATTACACTAACAAGTTATTTAACACACAGCTTAGCACAGCCAGGCAGATTTATTATTCCGTATTATATAGTACAACAATTCTTTACTCTATAAGTCCGAGAACAGAACAAAGTTATATGATATTGTGGTGCCAAAAAAAATAAGGGAATCCGAGTAACTTTTCTAAGATATCACCAAAAATAAATACCTAATAAGGCGCCCTTATTTTATTTTTGCAACAATATATAAGACTTTTGGCAAGACCCGTTACGGACACCTGTGAGAGGTTGGCTGTGACCTTGGATTTCACCTGTCACTCTCATAGAAGTTGCGTAACGCTGACCTGCATCTTCTTTAAACATCGTGAGCTTCGATCGAATACTAGTGACCGACACCTCAGTTGCTGAAAGAATACTGCCCCGTCCTCCGCTCCGAACTACCAACATGATTCTGTACTGCCGTAACCGTCAGGCAACGGTGAGACATTACTGTGATACGTCCTTCCTCCTCTCTTCTCGTCGCCTTCTCTACTCTCCCTCTTTCTCACTCACAACACAACCACAACTCTCTCTCTTCTCTCTCTCTCCTCTCTCTCTTACACCCTCCTCCCCCCCTCTCTTCTCTCACCCTCCTCCTGTCTCTCACACACCCTCCCTCTTCTCTCTCTTCCTCACACACCCTCCCTCTCTCCTCCACACACCCTCCTCATCTCTCTCCCACACCCTCCTCTCTCTCTACACCTCTCCCCCTCTCTCTCACACCTCCTCTCTGTCCTCACACACCCTCCCCTCTCTCTCCTTCACACCACCCTTTCCTCCCTCTCTTCAATCAACCCTCCCCTCTCTCACCGAATATTACACCTCATCCTCAGACGTTCTTATTATTATTTCTTCCGCCTCCACCCCTCTCTCCTCACAATACGAAATCTTTTCTCTCACTCCTTCACCTCTCCCTTCTGTACTAAGTCCTGCATCACCTAACGTTGTGACGATGACATCATAGTCGCTAGATTCCCCTATAGGCTATGGTTTCCGTAATCCCGCCGCCGTCCTCCTGCGAGCTCGTAGACTATTAATGCAGACAGCTGTGTATTGACGGACCCACAGACCGAACTCTACTCACCAGTATCGTGCCAAGGAAACACGGTATAGTGGCTAGAGTACACACATCACACACGCACACGCACCGCCACGCACCGCCGACGCACGCGCCACGGCACCGCACGCCACCGCGCACCCCGCACACGCACACGCAACACACACGCACTCACACACGCACATCACACAACACCACACGCGTAGACATCTGCCGATGAACGACATTTTGTTTGTTTTCCGCTTGTTTGTTATGATAGTTGCTTGTTGTTGTTGTTGTTTTGTATTGTTGTATGCTTATTTTGAGTTGGTGTGTTTATTATATTGTTTTTGATTGTTTTGTTTTTGTATTTGTTGTTGCTTGTAGTTGTCTGTCGTTTTAGTTGACTGTTGCGCGTGTGTTGTCGTTGTAGTTGCTGTTGTTTTATTGTCATTGTTTTAGTTGTTGTTGTCAGCTTGCTTGTTGTTGTTGTAAGTTGTTGTTGTTCTAGTTGTTAATAAGTGTCTAGTCTGCATTTATCAGTTGATGGCAAAACAACACAACCAACAGACAACAAACCACAAAGCAGCCCAGCAGCACAGAAACACACAACAACAATAAACACTAACTGAAACCAGAAACAGCAGTTACAATCTCGNGAGAGGTGAGCGCGTGTGACCTTGGTTCACCTGCACTCTCATGAAGTTGCGATAACGCTGACTTTGCATGTTCTTCAACATGTGAGCTTCGTCGAAGACTATGTGACCGAACCTCAGCTTGCGGAAGAACTGCCGGTCCTCCGCTGAACTACCAGACATGATGTTGTACCTGCGTAACCGTGGCAACGGTGAGAATTACTGGTGATAGTCCTCCTCCTCTCTCCTCTCGCTCGCCTTCTCGCTCTCTCTCTCTTTCTCACTCAACACACAACACACACCTCTCTCTCTAGCTCTCTCTCTACTCTCTCTCACACACCCTCGCTCCCTCTCTCTCTCACACCCTCCCTCTCTCTCTCACACACCCCCTCCCTCTCTCTCTCACACACCCTCCCTCTCTCTCTCACACACCCTCCCTCTCTCTCTCACACACCCTCCCTCTCTCTCTGTACAACCCTCGCCACTCCCCCCTCTCTCTCCACATATCCCTCCCTCCTCTGTCCTCTCAACAACACCCTCCCCCTCTCTCTCTCACACACCCTCCCTCTCTCTCTCACACACCCTCCCCTCTCTCTCACCAATACTTACACTCTCCTCAGACGTTCGTATATTATTTCTTCCGCCTCCACCCCCTCTCTCCTCCCATACCGAAACTTTTCTCTCACTCTCTCTCATCTCCCTCTGTACAGTGCTGCCACCTACGTGGTGACGATGACATCACAGTCCGCTAGATTCCCCGTAGAGTATGGTTTCCCGTAATCCCGCCGCCGGTCCTCCTGCGAGCCGTAGTAGAGCAGCAGCTGTATTTGACGTAACGGCCGACTGTCGTCGCGGCGCCAGACCACAGAACCGAACTCTCTCAGCCCAGTTATCTGTGGCCAAGGAAACACCGCGATACGTGGCTGAGTACACACATACACACACACTACGCACGCGCCACACGCACCGCACACGCGCACCGCACGGCGCACGCTGCCCACCGCCGAAGCGCACCGCGCACATCACACGCATCACGCAACACACAACCACGCACGGTAACATCACACGCACACACACACAGCAATCACACGCGTAGACATCTGCCATGAATCGACGATTGTTGTTGTTGTTGTTGTGTAGTGTGTTGTTGTTGTTGTTGCTTGTTGTAGTTGTGTGTTGTTTGTTGTTGTAAGTTGTTGTTGTTGTTCGTTGTTGTTGTAGTTTGTTGTTGTTTGTTGTTGTTGTTGTAAGTTGTTGTTGTTGTATGTTGTAGTTGGTTTTTGTTGCTGTTTGTCGCGTTGTTGTTGTCGTTGTAGTTTGTGTTGTTGTCAATTGTTGTTGTTGTTGTAGTTTGTTGTTGTGTTGTTGTGTGTTGTTGTAGTTGTTTGTTGTTTCTGTTGTTAATGAAGTTCTAAGTTGGGGTCAGTTATTCAGTGATGTCAAAAACAACAACCACCAACAACAACTAACCAAAATGCAGCAAGCAGCAGACAGAATACAACAAACACAACAACAACACTACTGAAACAGAACAGCAGTTTACAACAAACAATGTAACACGTAATTAGTAACGACGACAACGATTTTATAGATCGTCGAATGCGTTGACGGCGAAGTTAAAGTTAGCGTGGTCAGCACACATGACTCACCGATGACGGACGCCGGAACGACGATGAGGTGAGGACCGGTGGCGCCCTCTTCCACCAGATACGCGATGAACGATATCGCCTGTATCGTTTTACCCAACCCCTACAAACACAAGAACGTGTCTCAGCAAAGAAAAAGGTTATTCGCCCACGAAAAAAACCAATGCTTAATCACAACATGCAATGTGGCGTACGTGACGTCGCCCCGACAAAAACACAAGAGCATGACGCATCAACGCCACGACAAGCTTTTGTATAAGCGCGTTTACATTTATATCAAATTATTATATTATAATATTACATTATAATATTATATTATAATCATAATTTTTTGTTCACTATTATAGTAAACATGAACCATCACAGAAACTCTAGAATGTTCCGCCACGCAGCACTGAACAACAAACACATTCCACGACAGAACATAAATAATACAGAACGAACGGCTCGCCATCACCGTAAACAATACTCATAGTGTCACGTTACGGTTCGTTATCGTAAATTAATAAATAACGAAAGTGGGGTCGGTGGTCACTAGATGGCGCCACTCACCATCTCGTCTGCGAGGATGCAGCTGAGCTTGCGGCGATGCATCAGGATGAGCCAATTAAGACCGACGAGCTGAAACGGCTTCATCTGGCGCCTGCAAGAACGGGGGACGCGGTTGTCACGGCGACGGTGGAGCCGCGAGTACAGCTATGACGATGATGATGATGATGATGATGATGATGATGATGATGATGATGAGGAGGATGATAATGATGATGATGATGATGATGAGGATGAGGAGGAGGAGGAGGAGGAGGAGGAGGAGGAGGAGGAGGAGGA